CATCCCCACCCCATTCCCACCCCATTCCCACCATCCCCACCCCACTCCACCATTCCCACCCCATCCCCACCCCTTTCCCACCCCATCCCCACCCCATTCCCACCATCCCCACCCCATTCCCATCATCCCCACCCCATTCCCACCCCATTCCCAGCATTCCCACCCCATTCCCACCCCATCCCCACCATTCCCACCCCATCCCCACCCCATTCCCACCCCATTCCCGCCCCATTCCCGCCCCGTTCCCGCCCTCACCGGAGTGTGTGCGCAGGTGCCCGCTGAGGGCATCGTGGCGCCGGAGCACTCCCATCCCATTCCCACCCCATTCCCACCCCATTCCCACCCCATTCCCACCCCATTCCCACCCCATTCCCACCCCATCCCCACCCCATTCCCACCCCATTCCCAGCATTCCCACCCCATTCCCACCCCATTCCCGCCCCGTTCCCTCCCTCACCGGAGTGTGTGCGCAGGTGCCCGCTGAGGGCGTCGCGGCGCCGGCAGGCGTAGGAGCAGAAGGGGCACTTGAAGGGTTTCTCCCCCGAGTGCAGCTTGATGTGGCGCAGCAGGTTCCCCTTCTGCGTGAAGGAGGCGCCGCACTGCTGGCACTGGAAGGGCCGTTCTCCTGGAAATCCCAAAAAAACCCCAAATTTAACCCCAAATTTAACCATAAACCTGCACTGCTGGCACTGGAAGGGCCGTTCTCCTGGAAAAACCCAAAAAAACCCAAATTTAACCCCAAATTTAACCCCAAATTAACCATAAACCCACACTGCTGGCACTGGAAGGGCCGTTCTCCTGGAAAAACCCAAAAAAACCCCAAATTTAACCCCAAATTTAACCCCAAATTTAACCATAAACCCACACTGCTGGCACTGGAAGGGCCGTTCTCCTGGAAATTCCAAAAAAACCCCAAATTTAACCCAAACCTGCACTGCTGGCACTGGAAGGGCCGTTCTCCTGGAAAAACCCCAAAAAAAACCCCAAATTTAACCCCAAATTTAACCCCAAACCTGCACTGCTGGCACTGGAAGGGCCGTTCTCCTGGAAAAACCCGAAAAAACCCCCAAATTTAACCCCAAATTTAACCCCAAACCTGAAAATCCCAAAAGAAAACCCCACAGATTTAACCCCAAATCAGCACTGGAAGGGGCGTTCTCCTGGAAAAACCCAAAAAACCCCAAATTTAACCCCAAATTTAACCCCAAATCAGCACTGCTGGCACTGGAAGGGCCGTTCTCCTGGAAAAACCCAAAAAAACCCCAAATTTAACCCCAAATTTAACCCCAAACCTGCACTGCTGGCACTGGAAGGGCCGTTCTCCTGGAAAAACCCAAAAAAACCCCAAATTTAACCCCAAATTTAACCATAAACCTGCACTGCTGGCACTGGAAGGGCCGTTCTCCCTGGAAATCCCAAAAAAACCCCATAAATTTAACCCCAAATTTAACCCCAAATCAGCACTGCTGGCACTGGAAGGGCCGTTCTCCTGGAAATTCCAAAAAAATCCCAAATTTAACCCCAAATTTAACCCCAAATGAGCACTGCTGGCACTGGAAGGGCCGTTCTCCTGGAAAACCCAAAAAAACCCCAAATTTAACCCCAAATTTAACCATAAACCTGAAAATCCCAAAAGAAAACCCCATAGATTTAACCCCAAATCAGCACTGCTGGCACTGGAAGGGCCGTTCTCCTGGAAATCCCAAAAAAATTCCCAAATTTAACCCCAAATTTAACCCCAAACCTGCACTGCTGGCACTGGAAGGGGCGTTCTCCTGGAAATCCCAATAAAACCCCACAAATTCAACCCCAACCTGAAAATCCCAAAAGAAAACCCCAAATTTAACCCCAAACCCGCACTGCTGGCACTGGAAGGGCGTTCTCCTGGAAAACCCCAAAAAAATCCCAAATTTAACCCCAAATTTAACCATAAACCCACACTGCTGGCACTGGAAGGGTCATTCTCCTGGAAATCCCCAAAAAAAACCCCAAATTTAACCCCAAATTTAACCCCAAACCAGCACTGCTGGCACTGGAAGGGGCGTTCTCCTGAAAAAACCCAATAAAACCCCACAAATTCAACCCCAAACCTGAAAATCCCAAATAAAACCCCAAATTTAACCATAAACCTGCACTGGAAGGGGCGTTCTCCTGGAAATCCCAAAAAATCCCAAATTTAACCCCAAATCAGCACTGCTGGCACTGGAAGGGGCGTTCTCCTGGAAATCCCCAAAATTCCCATTTTTTCCCCATTTTTGCCAGTTTTTACCCCATTTTCTCACCACTGTGGCTGCGCTTGTGCACCATGAGCACGTTGGGCCCGATGCAGCCCAAATCCCCATAACTCCCATTTTTTCCCATTTTTGGCCATTTTCGCCTCGTTTTTTCCCATTTTCACCCTATTTTTTCCCATTTTTTCCCATTTTTGGCCATTTTCGCCCCGTTTTTCCCTGTTTTTTCCCATTTTTTTCCCATTTTTGCTGTTTTTCCCCCCGTTCCCTCACCGGTGTGGCTGCGCTTGTGCACCATGAGCACGTTGGGCCCGATGCAGCCCAAATCCCCATTCCCAGCTCCCATAACTCCCATTTTTGGCCATTTTCACCCCATTTTTTCCTGTTTTTTTCCCATTTTTTCCCTGTTTTTGCCCATTTTTGGCCATTTTCCCCCGTTTTTTCCCATTGTTCCCCCGTTTTCCTCACCGGTGTGGCTGCGCTTGTGCACCATGAGCACGTTGGGCCCGATGCAGCCCAAATCCCACACTCTGGAATCCCCATGCCCAGCTCCCATAACTCCCATTTTCACCCCATTTTTTCCCATTTTTTCCCATTTTTTTCCCTGTCTTTGGCCATTTTCGCCCGTTTTTCCCCGTTTTTTCCCATTTTTGCTGTTTTCCTCACCGGTGTGGCTGCGCTTGTGCACCATGAGTACGTTGGGCCCGATGCAGACCAAATCCCATTTTTGGCCATTTTCACCCCATTTCTTCCCATTTTTCCCCCGTTTTTCCCTGTTTTTTGCCATTTTTACCCGATTTTTCCCCATTTTTTCCCATTTTTGCTGTTTTTCTCACCGCTGTGGCTGCGCTTGTGCACCATGAGCACGTTGGGCCCGATGCAGCCCAAATCCCATTTTTGGCCATTTTCGCCCCGTTTTTTCCCATTTTTTCCCCGTTTTTTCCCATTTTTCCCCGTTTTTTCCCATTTTTGCTGTTTTCCTCACCGGTGTGGCTGCGCTTGTGCACCATGAGCACGTTGGGCCCGATGCAGCCCAAATCCCATTTTTGGCCATTTTCGCCCCGTTTTTTCCCATTTTTTCCCCGTTTTTTCCCATTTTTCCCCGTTTTTTCCCATTTTTGCTGTTTTCCTCACCGGTGTGGCTGCGCTTGTGCACCATGAGCACGTTGGGCCCGATGCAGACCATGCCGCACTCTGGAATCCCCATTCCCAGCTCCCATAACTCCCATTTTCCCCTGTTTTTTCCCGTTTTTTTCCCGTTTTTTCCCATTTTTTCCCATTTTTGCTGTTTTTTGCCCCGTTTTCTCACTGGTGTGGCTGCGCTTGTGCACCATGAGCACGTTGGGCCCGATGCAGCCCAAATCCCATTTTTGGCCATTTTCGCCCCGTTTTTCCCCATTTTTTCCCCGTTTTTTCCCATTTTCGCTGTTTTTCTCACCGGTGTGGCTGCGCTTGTGCACCATGAGCACGTTGGGCCCGATGCAGACCATGCCACACTCTGGAATGACCATTCCCAGCTCCCATAACTCCCATTTTTGGCCATTTTTTTTCCCATTTTTCCCCCGATTTTTCCCATTTTCGCCCCGTTTTTTCCCATTTTTTCCCATTTTTGTTGGGTTTTGCCCCATTCCCTCACCGGTGTGGCTGCGCTTGTGCACCATGAGCACGTTGGGCCCGATGCAGACCAAATCCCATTTTTGGCCATTTTCGCCCTATTTTTTCCCATTTTTTCCCCGTTTTTTCCCATTTTTCCCCGTTTTTTCCCATTTTTTCCCCGTTTCTCACCGGTGTGGCTGCGCTTGTGCACCATGAGCACGTTGGGCCGATGCAGCCCAAATCCCCATTCCCAGCTCCCATAACTCCCATTTTTGGCCATTTTCGCCCCGTTTTTTCCCGTTTTTTCCCATTTTTTTCCCATTTTTGCTGTTTTTTGCCCCATTCCCTCACCGGTGTGGCTGCGCTTGTGCACCATGAGCACGTTGGGCCCGATGCAGCCCAAACCCCATTTTTGGCCATTTTCGCCCCGTTTTTTCCCATTTTTGGCCATTTTTTCCCATTTTTGGCGATTTTCGCCCCGTTTTTTCCCGTTTTTTTCCCATTTTTGCTGTTTTTCTCACCGGTGTGGCTGCGCTTGTGCACCATGAGCACGTTGGGCCTGATGCAGACCAAATCCCCATTCCCAGCTCCCATAACCCCCATTTTTGCCCCGTTTTTTCCCATTTTTTCCCCGTTTTTCCCCATTTTTGCTGTTTTTTTGCCCCATTCCCTCACCGGTGTGGCTGCGCTTGTGCACCATGAGCACGTTGGGCCTGATGCAGCCCAAATCCCCATTCCCAGCTCCCATAACTCCCATTTTTGGCCATTTTCACCCCATTTTTTCCCCGTTTTTTCCCATTTTTGCTGTTTCTCTCACCGGTGTGGCTGCGCTTGTGCACCATGAGCACGTTGGGCCTGATGCAGCCCAAACCCCATTCCCAGCTCCCATAACTCCCATTTTTGGCCATTTTCGCCCCGTTTTTTCCCATTTTTTCCCCGTTTTTGGCCATTTTCGCCCCGTTTTTCCCCATTTTTTGCCGTTTTTTCCCCCATTCCCTCACCGGTGTGGCTGCGCTTGTGCACCATGAGCACGTTGGGCCCGATGCAGACCATGCCGCACTCTGGAATCCCCATTCCCAGCTCCCATTTTTCCCCATTTTTGGCCATTTTTTCCCCGTTTTTTGCATTTTTGCCCCGTTTTTCCCCGTTTTTTCCCATTTTTCGCTGTTTTTCTCACCGGTGTGGCTGCGCTTGTGCACCATGAGCACGTTGGGCCCGATGCAGA